ATACGTGTTTCATTTGCGTGCGTGCAGTCGTAGGATATGTTAGATGTTTCGGAGCATCGAAACTGTCTCAAAAGTTGATATGAATCATGTGCGAAGTTATTACTGGCGAAATAAAAGGTACTGTAAAATGGACTGTAAGATATTAAAAATGTAGAAAATATAAGTTTATTAAATGTGTTGCATCTAAGTAAAAAGTACTGCATTTTCTGGAGCAAGTATAAAAAATATTAAAGTACTTATTTTTTTGATCGTGCACAAAATTTTTTTTCTGCTTATATCTCTTGTAACTTTATATTTCCGATTCTAATGAATTAGCATTACTTTCGTAATTTCTGCATTACATAACTTTTTATATATGATTCTTGGAATTTGAATATTATGAGATGATCTACACAATTCATTGCATTAAATATTTAAGAATGAAAGATAATAATTCACTGCGCAAAAAGATTAACTTAAAGAATTTAATCATTATTAATAAAGAGAAGAATCTTTCAAAGCTGGAGATAAAAAAAATTACCTTACCGAATATTCTTCCAAAGAAATGTGGAAAATTAAATAGAGATGTTTATTTCTCATAGAAAAATACTTATATATATTTCCTGCAAAAAGTCCTGCAAGCATTCGTCAGTTTTCAATAATAAAATGACATGTCTCATCCGTTTCGTGATACGATAAGTTATGTATCATTGTATCATTCAGAGTTATGTATCGATGTATCATTCAGAAAATTTATGGTAATTTTTTGACTCACATTCTGTTCAAAAAGTCCCGTTTGCCTTTATAACTTTTGTGGGTTAATTGTAAGTTTTCTGCTTTATCTCCTTCGATATGTCCCTTTTCGGTTGATATTCCCAACGTCATTTTTACTTTTCGAAGCAGTTTTGGTAAGCGTTTTTTATAGAATCGCGCGTTAGTTTGTCTGCGAATTTTTTTTAATGTCTGAAAAAAAAGGATTGAACTGTATAATAACCTGTCTTTCGCAGATTTTTTTTTTTTTTAAACAAAATCTACGTTGAAAAGCTAAAGAATTCGTCATTCGAATACATCAATGAAAATTTACAAACAGATTTAAAGCTCGTAATTTTCAAAAAATGCATAGGTACTTACTAGTACTACGTTTACTTTTGCGTTACTTTTGTAGTAACTTACGATAATTCCTTCGCGTAAACAGGATTTTCCTTCGCGTAAACGGATTTTGTAGTAACTTACCATAATTTATTCCGCGTAAACGAGTGATATATCGTAAGTTACTACAGAAGTAACGCTCGCGTAAACGTAGTATAGGACCGCTTCCAAAAGTGAAGCAACATTGGAAGTAGTGTATCAATCGAGCAGAAACATATTTCGAAGGAAGACATAGTTCGGAAACTTCTTGAACAGCTCACTACGACGCTCTCGGTAAGACTGTAGTGTACTACTCAAGTCCGATTTTGATGAAATTTTACAGGTACGTAGTACTTACTAAATGTAGTTGGAGCCACTAATGCGGAGTTGCAGAAATGCTTAATTTTCAAGAAAATCAAATTTTAATTATTTGGCTTAATTAACGTTTTTTAAGATTTTGAAATGAAAAAAATAATAAAAATTTAAATTTAAATATTTTGCTAAAATGTTTTATTTTATTAGTGTATGAGGAAACTGTACTAAATGTTGACCAAATATCATTATCAAGAAAAAAAAACAAATAAAGATTTCTTACATTTTTCTAATATTTTTTACATTGTCAATAATAGGCAGTTTGGGATGGATCTCGCTTTTTTGTGTGGAAATTGCAAACTCATGTAAAAGTTGTTTTATTTAGGAAACTTCTTTAGTTAATAACTCTTTAATAAACTACGAGTCGTAAAAACGACGATATCCAAAAAATGAGAAAATAAGCTTCTTTGATTTCTTATATTTTTTTTCATAATGATATTTTGACGACACTGTACGTGCGCGTACAGTTTTTTAAATACATTAATGAAAAAAAATCATTTTAGTATAAAATATTTTTGAATTATAATTATCTTTGTATATCGAACTAGACACCACAGACGCGCGTTTTGCGCGCGTTATTTAGCTTTAACATTATGCTATTACTATTACACTATTAACTACCTTGATACACACAACTGTCAAAATATACGATGACAGCTGCGAATAAAGTATAGCTCAGTCAATAGAGACATTTAAATGGAATTAATTCCGGGAAGCGACTTTATTTTTTTGACTGTTTCGGAGGGTCATGGGTAGTCTAAAACCGGATTTTCGGGATTCTAACTCTGGAGCTTTAGCCGCTATTTTGATTAGAAGGGTGATTTTGTAAATATCTCGCTTATTTTCAACTTTAGAGTAAAAGTGGTAATAACCAAACTTGTAGAAAATTTAATACTCTACAATTTTGATTTTTATTATTTTTCACCTAGGATCGATATTTTGGGTCTTAGACTCGAAAGTGAGGGGTAAAATTTTTTTATTTTTGTTTATTTTTTGAATTTACTTGCTATAATGAAAAACATCTTTTTCACACCACCACGAGGGTAGAGTTTATGGCGCGTTTATTCAAAAAATAAAAAAAAATAAAAAAATTTCACTCCCCACTATCGAGTCTAAGACCCAAAATATCGATCCTAAGTAAAAAATAAGGACCAAAATTGTAAAGTATTAAATTTTCTACAAGTTTTGTTATTACCATTTTTACTCTCAAGTTGAAAATAAGCGAGATATTTACAAAATCACCCTTCTAATCAAAATGGCGGTTAACGCTCCAGGGTTAAAATCCCGAAAATCCGGTTTTAGACTATCCATGACCCTCCAAAACAATAAAAAAAAATCGCTTCCCGGAATTAATTTCATTTCAGCGGCTTTTTCAGGCTTTATCGACTGGGCTATAAGCGCAGCGAGAGAACCAATCGGCATCGCGGAGGAGAGAAAACAATAACCTCGATATATTCGAGTATTGACTTTGCACGCCTTTTTTAGAGAGAGAATCTTGCAAAATGTTAAGTAGGCCGAATAATTAAAATTTGATTTCCTCGGAAGCTGGCATTTTCATAACTCCACGATAGTGGCTACGACTACGTCTACATTTAGCAAGTACTACGCACCTGTAAAATTTCATCAAAATTGGGCTTTAATAGTATATTAAAGTGTTAAAGCCAAATTTCGTATATCGAATTAAGCCGAGTTATTGATTTATTAATAATTTTCTGTAAGGCGGCAGTGTGATCTAGTGGTAGAGCGCTAGACTCGAAATCTGAAGAACCAGGTTTGAGTCCACTAGAGCCATGTAAACATGGAATGTTTTTTCCGAAAGCTGCGCCCTCCGTGCAAGATAGGCTCTCGTGCGGAGCAAACTGGGTTCCGCCTTTCGGAAAGAGACGTTAAGGCTCCTGGATGGTCACCGCGGCCATATTGGATTCTTACTATCGAGGCGAGGAAAACACCTAATTTTGTTGTGCATGCCATTTTCAAATAAAAAGACATTTCAATAAAACATCATTATAGATCGTTTCAGAACACTTCCGGAATTGACCGAAAACTACCCTCTTCCCTCGACAATAAACAAACAGCCATAAAACGAACCCTAAACATACGGGAAAAACAGCCGTTTAACGACTATCGAAAGGAGGTGAAAACGTTCCTTCCGCATGCAAATCTTACTTTTCGGTCAATTTTACGACTTTCACAAATACGTTAAATGTTAGAGCACAAGCACAGAGCGAATAATAAAGAAATAGCATGCACAACAAAATAGGTTGTCAACATGTCACAAAGGACAAAATTCTCCATTGAAGACAGTTCTGATTTCTGCCACGACGGTACGTCGCCACCGTCAACGCAGAGTTCTCGGCTCAGGGACCAAGAGCCTTACCGTTGGTCCAAAGGATTAAGTGAGAGGAGAAGGGTAGTATTGGATGAGAATTGAATAAAGGGTTGAGAACGTCTCTATAAAATGTCTTGCAACCCTGAGGGGAGTCAATAATAAACGTATAATTTTTTTAAAATAATTTTTTGTAAACATCGTTGTTTTAAACACTTCCATATTTTATTATTCCTAACAATTTTATTTAAATTATTAGTCAGTTTGGTGATTTTATGATTATGACATGTAAGTTGCACTAGTTTTCTCATTTTACTATTAATAGTAAAACTATACTATTAGTAACATTACTTCACTATTTTACTGTTAGTTGATTTGTTTTTTGGTCAATTCCGCACAGAATGAAGAACGGTAAAAAACGATAATGCAGTACTCAACAACTATAATAAAACATGACATTTCTATTTTTCTCTAAAATATATGTTAGTTATTTTGAAAGGTTATTTCTTACCGTAGCCGCACCTTCTAATGACCCCACAAACAATCCAGCAATATTCATAGTGAACGTCTTGGTACCTCTTTGCAAGAGGAACAGTATCATTTTTTGTATTAGCAACGGAGCTGCGTACCACTGAACGTTGTACCTACGTGATGATTAATTAATAATTGAGAAATATAAAAAAAATCTGTGTCTACAAACAGTTTTATCATACCTTTCTTAAACTACGAGTATATATTAAATGTATTTTTTATTACAGTAATCTATATAACGAATGTGTGCATATTTGTTGTACGGATATATAATATAATTTTATCGCATAAAATAATTTCTTACACGGTGACAAAAACGTTATCATTATGATCCATAATTTCTTGCCCAATATAGTTGGCCACAAACATGTAAGTCAAGAGATACATCATAAATATTAATCGTAATGAAAGTTCTTCAATATCACATTCAAAGTATGTCATCTGAAAAATCTGAAATACATGGACATCGTAATAATTGTCATAAAAATTAAATTAATATTATCAAACAAAATAACAATTAATTATAGAATTGTCTGAATGAAAATTTAGTAGTAACTAATCTTATTACTATTATTTAAAGTATATATCATAAAACAAAGGCAGTATTTACCAGAAAAATATTAAGACTTCCGCACATTACACCGGTTATTATCAAAAAGGCGAATATTATTTTAAATCTAGATATTGTCGAGTTAGAAAATCTTCAAATAAAAATATTATTATATGCGCGTATTTTATATCCTAATTATTATAAATATATAATTTATATTGCTTATTAAATACTAACTTCATAGCTTTGCGATGCATATCCACAGCACAAATTAATCCCTTGTATATCAAATATTCGGTTTGCAAGCTGTTTTTTCGTAGAGTTTCGAGTGTCATTGTACGTGCGATACGATAACTGCAAATGATTCTTTTGGCATCATTAAATGGCCTTTCTATTTTTTCAAATTGGTAGATTTTTTATATTTGTTTTTATATTTATTCTCTTACCAGGTAATTTGAAACATTCCACATGCATGTTGTAAGTAAACTATGAACATTGTTCCTGTCGCTAGCATTGCAATTAACCCAATAAAAAAGGCTGCATTTGTATGGAAAAATATCAAGTAGAAATATCTTTTATCGACAAAGTATTCTGTCACAAGCAGCGGCGAAATACGTGCGTGAGTTTCATTTATAGACAGTAAGGTGTAAAAAACGCGCGACCAAATTGGGTACAAAATTAAAATAATTGCGATAAATATAACAAGCACTGAAAAATATTTAAGGATCAATTATTTTGATAAGAAGTTTATTATAAACTCGACGCGCGTTTAGTTTTCTAAATACAATATTCCAAATATAATAATTTGCGTTCAAAGTAAATCTAAAGCAGTTGTCTTACATGTAAACGCAATCGTGTAACGTTTGGCATAGATAGCATACTGTTTTATGATATTGATTTCATTTTCGTCAGTTAACTCGTTACAAGTATCCTGCAGTTGCTCCAGCAAACACTTTATCTGTCAATATTGCATACTATTTCTCTTAATCATATTTAAAAAAA